CTCCACCAGAGCAGAACTTTAGCTTGTGTTCTGGAGGACTCTGGTCAGAACTCTGCTGCAGCTTTCTGGATCAGCTGGAGGTTATACCAGAGTTTTGGGGCCAGAAGAATCCTGGAGGAACAGAAGGTGGTTTTCTGCTCCCTCTGAGGCAGGAAGCTCCTCCTTTTGAGACCAAAGAAGGCAAAAAGCCGTCTGAAATAAACACTGAAAAGCTCTAAAAACAAAGAAAACCCATCCAGTATTCAGCTGGTCTGGATTCAGATGAGGGAAATCCTCCAGCTCTTTAAGAAAAGCTGGAGGTGGAATAGCTGACTGCTCTGTCTGTCCAGGTTTCTGAGATGAACTGAGTCTCATCAGCCTAACGGAGGAAGTTTCTGCTGTCTGATGATGTTCCTTAATGGAAGCAGCTGGGAAGGAAAGACCCTGCTGGGGAGCAGGAGTCTTCACCTGCAGCTCTGAGGTCCAGCAGATCCAGCTCAGTCCACTACCAGAGGCTCAGAGGAGGTCTCTGTTCTGTGCCCTCATCAGCTCCCAACCCAGACTCAAACTCTTCAGACAAACGGGTGATACTGTATCAGTAGGCAGATCCACTACTCCATTGAAACCTGACGACTGCTCTCTTCTTGTGGGACACGGTCTGTTGCTGCTCATGGTGTTGTGGCTTTTGTGTTGGTTGACACTTGTCGTCCCCCCGTGTGTCTGCAGCCTGAAGCTGGTTTCAGGCGCTCCTGCACACATAGGTAAAGCATTCATAACCCACCAGGGCTCCAAACCTGATGATGGCGTGCTGCAGTTGGCTTTTGACAGCTCAGTTAGCTGCTCACGTTTACAGCAGCACTGTGTGTCCACTGGACAAACAGTGCTGCTGTAAACGTGAGCCCACACTAAATGTGTCAAACTGATGAAACTATGTCTCCTTTTCAAGTTCTTCTCCTGTTTTGAGCTGTCGTGTGAGGAGCTGGGGGCTATGAGCGGGACAGCCAGGAGGCCTCCTGCCCTGTGGGGGGCACAGCCCTGCTGAGTGGGGCTGAAACATGATGCTGACCTCCCCAGGCTCTTTAACTCAACACACTGTTGACTTACTGACTAAAGTCAACAGAGCTAGTCACACATGCGGAGTAGGGATGAAACCATCTGTCTTTGGACCTCAGCAGTCACTCTTTGTTTTTGCTGACTGGCGTCTTCCATTCAGGACAGAATGTGCACTTTTTGACTTTGTGTTCAGAGGGTTGCTTGGAAAATCAACTGACCTGGTCCGTGTCCCCTCTCAGGTCACAGCCGCTGTATCGTGGGCGTAGAGCAGAGGAAGAACGGAAGCCTGTGCCTGCTGCTGCTGGATCCTGCCTGCTCAGCATCAGACACCAGGAAGCTGCTGAGCAGGGGCACCGTTTCCACCTCCATCCGCCATGTCAGGAAGTTCCCCACAAGCCTGAAGCACAAACAGTACCAGCTGGTAGCAGCACAGGGCGTGCTGTCTGCCCAGGACAAGCAGGTGAGTGGCTCTTACCGGGCAGTTTGAATATGAAAGATGTGTTCCAGAACAGGTTTGTTTGTTTTCCAGGTTAGGATCTTGAATTCCAGGACATTCTGTGCTGAAAGAGTCCCATGAAGTCCATGAATCCATGAAGAATCCCTTACTTAGGTAACTGCTCAAACAGATGATCAGCTTCTACTCTGATCTTTTTAAAGCATTTGACATGTTTTCAGCTGCATTTTGAGGTGGTTTGAATAAAGTCTTTGTTCCTCATCTGTCACAGTCTATGGTTTATTGAGGAAATGATCAGAAAGTATGCCAGGTTCTCATCTGCCCACCACTGGCACAAAGACAGAAGTGAGAGGAGGCCGGGCTGCAGTTGGAGCTGGAAGTGTGTACTGCTGCCGTCCTTCTCCCGTTAGCAAACAGCGCTTCTGCAGGGGAGCCCCCCGTCTCTGATGGATGGAGGTGTCTGTGTCCACTCACTGTTAGTTAGTGAAAAAAGGCTCCCTCCTAAGAAACCCTTGTTTTTGAGCAGGATTCTGTTAACAGCCAGATGTTGACACACATACAAAGTAAGGCTGACTCCATACTTTGACCAGGACTAACCGCTGACCAGTCTCTGCCGTCTGTCCACTTCCTGCCAACATAGATGACTTTCTGAGAATGTTTGTTTATTATCTTGTATTTCCATTCCAGCTCTGTCCCAAAAATCTGGTTTACGTGATTGAATTATCTGCATAGCTCTGGTGAACAAAGGCTGGAGGGGGCAAATGTTGTTCAGACTATGGTTTACTCCAGTGGTGCTAATGAACCTCTGCAGGAAGTAGAGCTCATGGCTGTGGTGCTAGTGCTGAGAACGTGCACATTACACTCTTTGTACAGATGCCACAGTCATAGAAACTTGGAGAGGAGGAAATCTAATTATGAGGCTGAAGCAGCTGTCTGAACCTAAAGAGAGCCCCACATCCTGTGACTTCAGAGCAGGGCCGTTTTACTCAAGAGCGCTCGGACATTCCTGGGAAGAGTCTGATAAGTGCTTAAAACTAAAAACGTTGGAGACATTTCTCTTCCAGAGTTAATCTGGTCCCAGGAGTCCTTTTAAAAACTTGATAACACGCTGTCCCATCTTGTGCAAGAGAATCTGCATAAGCAACTTCTGCAGTGTGATTACTTTAACAGAGTCCGTGGGGACTGGTGGTGACTGGCTGAACTCTTTTCATTCCACAAGACCAGAACCATCCAAACAGTCCTGTGGGATGATGGAGTAATATAGGAGTGTTCCAAGATCGTGAATGTGAGTATGGTCAGTCATCAGGAGGTCAGCTGTCCAGCAGCAAACACCACGTGTCTTTTGTCCGTGGCAGTCCACAAATAAGCCACCAGCACAGCCCCCGCACAGGGAAACTTGTTGGTGTCCAGATGTGGAACGTCCAGACTACAGGAAAACAGAACACTGGCCATAGTCAGTGGTCAGTTCCAAAGCCCGACATAAACGTCCTCCTCACACTGAGTCCTTTGTCCTCCTGAGGATCAGTCCAGCAGCTACGAGTGGAGTTCAGCACCGGGGGATGTTGCATAATCCCCCCCACACCGCCCCCCCCCCCCCCCCCCCCCCCCGGCAGGGCTGCGTCAGAGTGGGAGCGTCCCGCGCAGCCTCAGCTGCGTAAAAGCGCGCGCAGGCTCAGCTGCGTAAAAGCGCGCGCCTCCCTGGACCCTGGCTGACTCCGGCTGGTCTGGACTCCGCAGGTAGTTGCCATAACTTTCTTTGCGTGTGGGGGTCCTGGAGGGGGCAGATTTGCACTGCGGCGCGCGCCCCGCTGCGGAGCGCCTCGCGCTGACTCCAGCTCAACCTTTTCACGTTTCCAACTCGCGTTTTTCACATTAACTGCTGCAACAATGTCGCTTAACATGTCAACTGTTCTGAGCTCGTTTTAAGCCGGAGCGGACTCGTACAAATTCTGTCCTGTCTGTTCTTCATGGATTCTATTTTTTATAACTAAAGGAACCCTTCTCTTGTAGTTATCATGGATTTGAACGATACCATAACTCATGATCATCATCCACTGGTGCCACTCAAAGGCTTCTATCTGATCAACGGGACTCATGATCCAGAGGATGTGGATCAGATTCATAACTTGGAGATCAGAGACTCTGACGTGTTTGTGGTCACATACCCCAAATCAGGTAAGGGTGGCGTCACTTAACCCACGCAGTGTCTTTTGTTCTGTCTAAAGGAAGAAGCTTGTGCAGCATGTTTAATTTGTGTTTGATGTGAGGGAAGTTGGTTGAACCCCCCCCCCCAAGGGTACTCCAATGTAACAGACATGTTCGTGTAGATATCATAGATGGTGTAGATTCACTAAAGGATACCTCCTAAAATGTAACTGCTATTGGAGGGGCCGTTTGTGAGGCATCAGCAGAGTGTCTCCAAAAGATCAAGACATGAAAAGAATGAAGAGGAAGGCCCGGCAGGGGGCCAGTCTCCTGTTACTGGAACTGGCCATCAGAAGATGGGCCCTGTTAGGAAACGAGGACGGAGCACAGCTCAGCTTCCGGGATGTTCCTGTAAACATACGTGAGCCGGGACCCTTTCAGTCTGATGAGCACTGGTCATTTCAAACTTTCAGATGGAAAATTGTCGTCTAACTCCAGTTAATACTTAAATTCAATTAACATTTAAATCAATCTGCCTTCCTGAGAGGAAGGGAGTCTAAAGAGCCTTGATGACTTATCTGAGGAATTCCTGTGAGGAGAGGATAAGAGCACTACTGGTTCCCAATTCAGTAACAGAAGAGTAGAAAAAGTAGAGGAGATAACACTGCAGCACACAAGCTCCAAGGTTAGTTCAATAGTGTGAGAGGCTCTACAGCCAGTCAGACAGTCAGGACGCCACAGAGGAAATATGATGGAAGGCTACACTGTAGTAAAGGAGCAACAGATCAGTCCTGTAATACCACAGCTGTAGCCATCTTTATTTCTGCTCTTTCCCCCTCATATCCCGTTTGTGTCTGATAACTCACTTCCTGTGTGCCCAGCATGCAGCATGCTTTCAAACGAGCCAGACTAGGACTCACGCAGAGCCATGCTGCACACACTGAGAGTGGGACAGGTTTCATGTGGCACGTCTTCCCTTCCACAGGGACTATCTGGATGCAGCAGATCCTGCTTCTGCTAGAGGCAAAAGGAGATGTGACTGCCATCAGCAAACTCTGCAACCTCTCCAACGCTGACCTCATCCCGTGGATAGAGGTGAAGGGAAACAGGGAGGCTTTCATCTCCGCACCATCACCCAGGCTGAGGGTCACCCACCTGCAGTACCGCTTCCTGCCCCCCACTCTGAGCCAGAAGAAGGGAAAGGTCATGTTGTCACGTGTATTTCATCTCATTTCACATAAACTTAAGACCAAGATTACTCTAGTGAGAAAGAGATGACTGTTACTGGTTTTGGGATTGGAGGCTTGGATTGGATGTGGGGCTTCATGGTGTGGACTGTTATCTGAGTTTATGCTTCAGAGTTTAACTGAGGCATTGTTTTAAAACTCATTTAAAAGATCTTCCTTCACCACATTGAGACATAAGGGTATGAAGACCTCCAATCCTTTTTTAGTTTAACTATACTTGCAGGGCGCCTTTTCCTGTCCGAGTTTCCAAGTATTGAAAATGTATTTAATTATATAACATAACGAGCACTGCGAGGGTCTTAAGACTGGCCGTCTTGCCATTTCTCCTCTGGTATGAGAGGAAGCCACACATAGACAGAGAGCACTCACACAGGAGCCTGTGCTGTGAGGCCACAGTGCTCACCACCATCACACCACCACTACACCACCAGCACACCACCATCACACCACCATCACACCACCAGTACACCACCATCACACCACCATCACACCACCATCACACCACCATCACACCACCAGTACACCACCAGCACACCACCAGTCACCGTTTACTGACTGCCCAGACTTGGCCTATTTCAGGTGATCTACGTGGCAAGAAATCCTAAAGATGTCCTCGTGTCTTATTTCTACTTCCATAAAGTTGCAAACATGTTGGAAACACCAAAGAGCTTTGATGACTTCTTTGAGAAATTCCTGAGAGGAGAAGGTAAGAGGAGGCTGCTTGGGCTCTCTTCAGGGCGGGGTGCAGATAGTTCTGCTGGTGGTGACTGTGTGCTGCTCATTGCAGTGTTCGGTTCCAGCTGGTTTGAGCATGTTAAGACCTGGTACGCACACAGGGATGAAATGAACCTGCTGTTCATCACTTATGAAGAAATGATTCAAGTAGGACCTCAAATCTTCACAATCACTGCATGCCACACATTCATCAGGCGAAGTTTAAAGCTGGATCCTGACTTGTGCTGCGGTGCTTTGTTCAGGACCTTCGGTTAGCAGTGAGGAGGATCGCCTTGTTCCTGGGCAAAGAGCTGACGGATGAGCAGCTGGACAGTGTCGTGACACACAGCACATTCAGCAACATGAGGAAGATCCCTCAGGCCAGCTATGAGCAGGTGTCAGGAGCCCTGCTCAGCCACCACCTGGGAAAGTTCATGAGGAAAGGTAAGGAAATACATCTGGTCAAAGTCCTTCTCCTTATGTTCCCAGACAGAAAGCAATGATCCACCCAAAGGCACACAGCACTTTTCCTATATTAGGGCAGTGAAAGCACAACGCTAAAACTCCATTTCTTTTCCCTCCTCCATCATGCTCTGTGAACTCCAGGCACAGTCGGGGACTGGAAGAATCATTTTACTGTGGCTCAGAATGAGAGGTTTGATCGAGTCTTCCTCCAAGAGATGAAGGACTTTCCACTTTCATTTATCTGGGACAACAAAGATTTGGAATAATTACAAATAGATCACATGACCACTCAAAGAAGATCACGTTCACAGTTTCAGCTTCATTAGAATGACGATTGGCACAAAATAAATGCTCGCCGATGACAGGGTCATCATGTCCAGATCTGGAGAGAGTTGAGTAACACGCCAAAGGAATCAAACTTTACTCTAAGTTTGGCTATCTTAATAATGAATAAGCTAATTCTGTTATTAATGAGAAAGTAACAATGACACGGAAGGTCAACTTCCTCTCAAAGCCGTGGATTCTCCACTTTCACTATCACACTGTGCTGTAAAGTTCTGCATGTCTCTGCTAAATAAATGAGCTCATATGGGTCAGGGTTTTTCATGGCATGCACCTCAGTGTTTGACACGAAGAAGTCAGTGTTTTCATTCTAGCAGGTGATCCTCCCTGAAGAGAAAATCATCACACCTGCTTTCAGCAATCTTCAACCCCCCCCGACTGATGCAGCAGAGACCTGACCCGTATGGACAGACATCAGGTGACCTGACCCGTATGGACAGACATCAGGTGAGCTGACCCGTATGGACAGACATCAGGTGAGATGACCCGTATGGACAGACATCAGGTGTGATGACCCGTATGGACAGACATCAGGTGAGCTGACCCGTATGGACAGACATCAGGTGAGCTGACCCGTATGGACAGACATCAGGTGACCTGACACGTATGGACAGACATCAGGTGAGCTGACCCGTATGGACACAGGCATCAGGTGTGATGACCCGTATGGACACAGGCATCAGGTGTGATGACCCATATGGACAGACATCAGGTGAGCTGACCCGTCTGGACAGACATCAGGTGTGATGACCCGTATGGACACAGGCATCAGGTGTGATGACCCGTATGGACAGACATCAGGTGAGCTGACCCGTCTGGACACAGACACCAGCGTGGCTGTAGATCTGGACTGAACTGAGTGTGGTTTTATCTAACACCGGGGCTTTGTGCTGGAGTGGTCATTTCCCACAGAACCTTCAGCTCCGTCCGCGGTTCTGCTGTCAGACGTGGTTTTCTGAGCTCAGTACGGGAGACAACACCTGTTTACCTTCCCACCTATTTCTTACATCCTACTGCCATCTTCTGGACACGAGGCTTTCCACTCATAGTTCAACCAGACACAAGACGGAGCATTTTCTGGAAAAATTTAATGTTTTAGGTGTTGAAATGAGAACTCCCAGCCCTGTGTTGGATCTACTGCAAGTCTTTAAAATCTATGTAGTGAGAAGACCAAATTCAGGAGCAGAGCAGGTTTTACAGTCCAGGGTCATCCTGCTGGCTCAGTCCTCATCACTGCCCATCTCTAGAGGGTCAAAGTCTGGGTCATCCTCGTCCAAGTCCAAGTCCTCGATGTCCTGGAACAGTGACTCGTCCACCTCCACATTGTTTCCAGCTGCAAAAGCAGAAAGACAGTGAGCAAAAGTCCAAACGAGATTCAGAGCATGTGTCTGAGCCGGTCAGTCTTTGAACCACAGAAGGGCAGAACTACTCCCGTCCCTGTCTGGAGGACTGAACCTGCCAAGACTGAAAACAGGTCATAAAAATAAAAATAGCCCATCATAGAATAAGCCAAGAAACCTTCAATGTACCAAATAAAAATGAGGCATCACTTTACATTTCTGCCTTAATCTGTTTCAAGTGTCCCATGTACTTACTCTAGCTGTTTTATAGCAGTAGCTGACCATCACATTTTCTTTCTCTATGAATGTCCAATGTATGTATTATATTTGAATTTGAACAGTGCCATGTTTTTGTATGCATGGATTCACTTATGTCTCTTATTAACATATATAATACATAACATTGGTCCCAAGCCCTGGAATCTTTTTCTCACAGGTGTTTCGGTCACTGATATTTGAAGACTTTTTGTAGTTGGTAAAGAGCAGTTCAGAGGCAGATAAGGATCCACCAGAGACGCTGGCCCAGAGCCCAGCATATTAGCAGAACCAAGCAGAAATGCGTGAAGGAAAAAGGAAATAAATAAAACAAATAAAAAGAAGCCACGCATCTAAATATGAAAGAAAAAAGCATGAGAGTAAATGAATGGGACATGCATTCATATATGGAAATGAAGGTAGAAATATAAAAGATGTGGGGTTAGTACACCTCAGTGTTTATTCTTTTATCTGTTTTAATGCTTCTGCTTCCAACGGTAACTCTTATTTTAGACAAAGCCCTTTTAAGTGTTTTTTACTAATAGCCATATCAAAACGAGTTTATTTATTGGGTTTCAGTCCCCCAAACCTCTCTGTTTAAATTTCTAAACAAACTAAAAGAAAAACCTAGCCAGCAGGAAGAAGAGCAGGAACGTTAAGAATCCAGCTTGAAGTAAAAAAAAGAGCTGGGTTCTCATAAAGCCAGAGCCCAGCCGGGACCGGCCGCTGAGGAGTCCAGAGCAGCAGGGTGCTCTGACCCCTGGGGGGGGCAGCATCTAGACCGGGCAGCAGCCCCACAGCCGGGTGCTTGTTAAGAAGCAGAAGTGCAGCTGCATGGTGAGGGAGTCCGGCCTGAGCCGGGACTTACTCCCCCCTCAGAGATGCTTCTCTGTGCCTCAGCAGGGGGGGCTGCTCACCATCTTCCAGGAACTGGATGTCTGACGTGTCCAGGTTGTGGTCTCTCTCAAACAGCTGTTTACCTGGTGAGGAGAACAGGGTGGTCAGCTCAGGGTGGTCAGCTCACAGGTCAAATCAGATCCCAGCGTCTGAGCTGCAGCTTTACCGGTAAGTTTAGGCTTTCCAGCCTGCTCCTCCTCTTTCTGCCGTTTCCTCCTCACCTCAGCCATCTCCAGCTCAAACTGAGCTTTCCATGCCAGGAAGTTCTCTATGGTTACCACCGTACCCTGGAAGGCCACCTGTGGGCACACAGGCATCAGCTGACCCCCCCTCTGCCCCTCTGACCCGTCCAGCCCAGCCCATCCCACCCAGGCGTACCTTCTCTGCCTCCTCTAACTCCCTCTCTTTTTGACGTTTTTCCTCTTCTCGACGATTTTTCATCAAATCCACGATTTCATTCAGTTTCTCCTGCACAGCCGTCACCAGGGTGAAGATCATGGCCATCCCCAGGTTCTCCTCGGCCTGCGCAGAGAGCCCATGAGTCCAGCCCAGCAGGAACACCTGACCGCCCAGAGGAGCACAGCAGCCAGGACCCGGGTCCAGCAGCCAGGACCCGGGTCCAGCAGCCGGCCGGCTCCTCCACGGGGCCAGTCCTCACGTCCACACCTGGCTGTGAGCTGCCCATTTCAGAGACACACACACACACACACACACACACCTGCTGCTGCAGTAGGGGGACAGCAGGAAGACACACACACACGCATCAGGGGGACAGCAGGAGGACACACACATACACACACACCTGCTGCTGCAGTAGGGTCACACACACACGCACACACGCACACACACACACACACACGCAGCAGGGGGACAGCAGGAGGACACACACACACACACACACACACACCTGCTGCTGCAGTAGGGTGAGGATGTCCTCCGTGTCGCTGTCCTTCAGATTCTCCTGGGAGCTGACCTCCCACAGGGGGGGCTCATCGGGGTACCTGTCCACGTAGCTGAACTTTAAGGTGGCCTCCACAGCTGCGGACACAACGCAGCCGGTCAGCCGTCGCCCGGTCAGCCGGTCAGCCGGTCAGCCGGCCGGGGCGCGCTGACGTCACCACCACCTCACAAGGCCTACTCACTTTCCCCGTGTTCCCCTGCATCTGACGTCACGGTGATGCTGAAGCTGGGGGGGTCGTCAGACAGCACTGCGGGGACAGACACAACGCCATCAGACATTTCTGGAATCATCCCCGAAACATTCAAATGAAGCGGCCTGCGCGTGGGACCAGAGGAGGTCCTTCCTCCGGGGTTCCAGCGGCGGCTAGCTGAGGGCTAGCTGCTGGGGGCTAGCTGCTGGGGGCTAGCTGCTGGGGGCTAGCTGCTGGGGGCTAGCTGCTGGGGGCTAGCGGAGGCCAACGCGCGGCTCACACCTGTGAAGGAGTCCGGGTAGATGGCCTCCAGGGCCTCCACCTCGTTCCTCTGCTCCTCGCCGTAGTCTGTCATGTCTGCGCGGAGCCGCTCCGACCATCACCGGCCACACACACCGTGTTAGCGGGCTCTCGCGGCACCGAGCTCACACACGCTACAGACGACACGAAATGTCCATTCACGGCTTCCGTCTTCAGACCATGAAGTCGCGCACAGAGTCAGTGATCCCGGAACTTAACGCCTATGCGCCATACCACCGAAGAAGAGAGACGGCGGAGCGCCTCCACAAAGCAGGAAGTGAGGCCCCTGCTGCCGCGGAGGGGAGGCTCCAGCCGGGGGGGGGGGCTTTACATTACTGTAAAGCCAGTATCGGCCCCTGTCAAGCACAGGACCAGGTTTGTGGATGTTGATTGGCTGTGGTGCTGTGTGGGTTCATTTGGACTTTTGAGTTGTAGGCTGGGCTGAGTAGGTTCTGAGCACATGTGTTAATTTATTCATCCAGCTATTTATGTCTTTAAGACAGGCTCCAAGTCTGAATACTTCTTTAGGGATTACAGATTCATATACATTATTGAAACCGTTGGATATGGATTTTCCCTTCTGAGCATCTATAAAGATATTGAGGCTCATTTCAGATGTTTTGTAACTTTAATGCTTCTTGAGAGTGATAGCTCAGCTGCTCCTAGCTGGGAAGTTTTTTGCTCTTCTAAATGACTCGGGAGTAAGATGTTGACTAAAGTGGTTTATCTTAAAATTAGAAACTATAAAATAATGTCTTTCCCAGATTGTCTTTACCTCCCATTCAGCTTTGCTGGTTTAAAGTCTCACATTTTACTCATGTTATTTAAACTCTTTTGTGATGTGGGGAAGCAGCGTGTAATCCTGATAGTGAAAGGCACAGCAAAAACCATGTTTATTCTAGTTAATGTTCAGCATTCATTAGTGTTTTACAAGACGCCTCACTGCTGTTTAAAGCTCAATTCTGACACAGTCAACAAGTTACTTTTTAAAGTGAAGACATTTCTCATGCAATGTTAAAGTAGTTCCTCTTTTTCTGGAGCGATGTGCTGTTCCAGCGTGACACATGCCATGTTCTTTGTTAGACACAGAGGGCAGCTTTGTCCCGCGAGGATAAACTGGGACGGTTTTTCTGAGTCAGTCTCAGGAAGGCAGAGTTAATGAGGAGCAGCCTCTTGGCTTTTTGGGTTTTCCGCTTAGATTAAAGGCTGCTCAGTTCATCTCTATGCCATGTTCCAAGTTCATAGGTCTTTTCTCTGGAGTGAAATCCCGGTCTGATCTCTCCACGTAGCGCTGCAGGGTGCTATAGTACTGTTCACTTTGGGAGAAGCTGTAATAAGCAGAGATCTCTTCCCATGCTTTATGGTTGGGAAAAGGCATCGGTTCCGCTTCCTTGTTCTCAAAGAAGCTGTGCAGGTTTCTCTCTGCCAGCTTGGTGGCGTAGTCCACAGCGAGGGCGTCAAAGCGCTCCTTCTCCTTCTCCATGTAGCGCTTCCAGAATGTGAGCTGCAGGTAGCTGACTTTGGAGCGACAGTTTCTGTAGCAGGTTCCAAGAAGGCCAACGGTGGCAGCCATGATAACGATACTCCAGCCCAAGATCTGCAGATAGAGCGACAGGAAGGCAAAGTTTGGGCCATGGTAAAGTGCACAGGTGCTGAGGAAATCAAGGGGAGAGGAACATCTGGAACCCCACAGCCCATGAGCCAACACCACACTGATCAGTGTTTTTGGAAACACTGTGCTTTTATCTCCTCTAAAATCAGCAATGTTGAGACAACTCCATCCTCATCTGTCACCACCAGTCAGACTGGATTTAGATGCAAATGTGGAGGCGTCCACTTGAGCTTGTTTTCATTTCTATGTTTATTACCTATTTGTTGTTTCAAGTTGCTAGAATTTCTCACTGGTCACCTTAAAAACGGCTCACATAGTTGGATTAATCTATTTTCACCCTGTATCACAAGTGTTGCTCTGAAATGTCCCTCTGGATGAATAAAGCTTTTTGAATCTTGAATAGATTCCCCAATCAGAGCTGAAATGTGTACATGGGAATAATCTGGGCTCTCCTGTGAGCTCACATCAGTATTCACACAGAGGAAAACTGATCTTGATGTATTTGTCAGAGGTTGATATACTTTGACAGAATTATCTTATATTTCATAATCCTATTGATTTATTCCTAAAGAGTTTGTATTTGCATCTTCCAGATTTGTAACCCTTGTCTTTGAAGGCAGCATTCCTCAGCTGCTCTCATAAAGTGTGGGGTATTCAGTCAGGAGTATTTCCTTCATGGGATGCAGAAACTTACTTGGGACTGAGCCCGGAACATCAGCAGCAGCTCCATCCGCTCGTCAGTGGACAGTTTGGAGCGATCACAGGGCACCCGGGCCAGCTCCTCCCGACACCTGAGGGTCTTGTTTTTACAGAACAGGTCCACCACCAGGTTGTCGTCCAGCCCGCTGATAGCACACTCATAGAAGGTGCCGTTGAGCAGGGCCACAGAGAGCCACATTATGGGAGCCACACAGGCGCCGGAGCAGATGCTCATCAGCACCCGGCAGCAGCCCAGGCCGTTCCCGCGGGGACAGAGCTTCATGGGGTCCAGGCAGCAGCCGGTGTAGAGCCTCCACAGGCGCGTGCTGAAGAACAGCCCCAGCAGCAGCAGCACGGCGGCCGGGCCCAGCAGGAAGGTCAGCCCGTAGGCGAAGTTCTGCTCATGGTTACACGGGCACTGGAAGGACACCATGGAAAAAACCCGCTCCCCTCCTATGGTCAGGAGCGCCATAAAACTGTAACCAATGGTAGCCTTCTGGTTCATGAAAAAGCGCAGGACAGTCTGGAAGTTGTCCATGGTGTCGGCGGGGCGATCTCAGGAAAAACACAGAGTCCAGCAGCTTTGTCCTGCTGCTGTCTGCTGCAGTTGGACAGAAACTAACTCAGTCATTTACCCGCCCAGCGGTGCCCCTCCCTGTAAGCTGTCTGTCTTTTCTTCACGCCCCTCCCTCCATAATTGTCAGGCTTTCTTCAGCTCATGTTCTCACTCTATTCACTCCGCCTCAGCTGGGATTGTTCAGAGAGTCCAGCCCCTGTGATGAAAGCATAACACTTCTCATTTCCCCTCCGGCTCTGACTGCTGCCGTCCATCAGGGGAATCCCGCCGGCTCATTTCTGGATGCGTTCAGCAGCGTCTCATACAGGAGAATCCTGAGAAATGTTGTCCGGGCAACAGTGACCAAACTCAAACATCAGAGTTTGCTCCTCCTGCAGACCACTTCCCCGCCTGTCTGTGGCTGGGACATGACACAACCTGCAGAACATACCACTGCAGAAAAGCGAGGGACGCTCAGTCAGAGAATGTGGGGGAAGTGCTGACATCCTCCTTGTGGTTTCTGTATTCCAGTCCGACATTAATGAGCACTCAGACTGCTGTGCTCCGCCCAGCCCCCTGACAGCTCTTCTGTTTTTTCATGTGGACGCAGTGTTTAGCATTACGGTTCACTCTCACTGTGCTAGGATTAGGTCGTGATGGTATTTGGATGAACTGGCTTGGATTTGTCTGTCTTTAAGCAGTTACATTGGTGTGATTTGGCTATTGATAACAAGAGCGTTTTCACCACTTATTCCGCTGGCGTGATGAGCACATGAATGAGAGCGAGCTATGTGGACAGTACACAGGAAGTGGTTGGCTCTGAACATGTCTGGCTTCCTGTGGAAGTTCAGGCGGTAAGCACAACAGCCAGCACACAAAGCTGATCGGAATCTTTAGATGTTTCATCTTCTACATTCTCTCCAAAGCTGGCTGACACAAGTAGCCATTACTTTAATTTACAACCCCTCATGAAGTTACACGTCATTTTCTAATCTTTCTTGCTCTTCTCATGTCTAATTTATGCTGTCCATCCTCAATCTCACCGGTCAACACGCACAGGTAAAGTTTAAAAAACATGAAAAACTCATTAAAAGTGAAATGGAGAGGATTTTCGAGACTTGCTCAGCTTGTTGCTTCTGGCACAGCTCTTTCAGAATCTTTTCCTCGTGTCCACTGTGTGTAAATGTGCATGACAGAGAATTAATGCGGCCTGTGTGAACATAGTTTGTAGAGTGAAAAAGTGTTGAGGGGTTAACGCACTATAAGAGAGACTGTTTTAACACCACGGACTGGGATGTACTGTTCAACGCGCATGGCGAGGACATAGATGGGCTGACACACTGCCTGACGGACTATCTGAACTTCTGCGCAGATGTGGTCTCCCCTGTTAAGACAGTCCGCTGTTATCCTAATAATAAGCCATGGGTAACGCGGGAAGTCAAAACTGTCCTCAACAAGAAGAAGGCTGCCTTCAGGAGAGGAGACAGGGAGGCAGCTCAGCAGGAGGTGAAGCAGTGTGTGAGGGAAGCAAAAGACAGCTAAAGGAGAAAGGTGGAGCAGAAGCTGAGAGAGAACAACATGAGGGAGGTCTGGGAAGGTGTGAGGACTATCACTGGTCTCAACACAAAAACCAGAGCTGTTGGGGGAACAATGGAGGGGGCAAACAAGCTGAATATCTTCTTCAACAGGTTCAACCAGCCCATGCCCCCCCAACCCCCTCTCTCACTGCAGCCACCTTTCCTCCCCACCACACACCTCCCCCAGACAACACCCCCCCGCACACCTCAGCTCAATCTCCGCCCCACATCACCACAGACCAGGTCAGAGAACAGCTGAGGAAGCTCAAGCCCAGGAAAGCAGCGGGGCCGGACCAGGTGTGTCCAAGACTCCTGAAGACCTGCGCTGCTGAACTGGGAGAGCCGCTACAGCGGATCTTCAACCTCAGCCTGCAGCTAAGGGAAGTGCCCACCCTCTGGAAGACATCCTGCATCGTTCCAGTGCCCAAGAAGAACAGGCCCAGCGAGCTGAATGACTTCCGGCCCGTGGCACTCACTTCACACCTGATGAAGACGTTGGAGCGGCTCTTCCTCGGCCTCCTCAGACCTCAGGTGCAACATGCTCAAGACCGCCTGCAATTCGCCTACCAGCCAGATGTTGGTGTGGAGGATGCCATCCTCTACCTGCTGCACCGGGCCCACTCCCACCTGGACAAGGGCAGGGGCACAGTGAGGATCCTTTTCTTGGACTTCTCCAGTGCCTTTAATACTATCCAGCCCCTTCTGCTCCAGGACAAACTACACAGCATGGGAGTGGACCCACACCTGGTCACCTGGATCCACAGTTACCTCACCATCAGGCCGCAGTATGTCAGGCTGAAGGACACCATGTCTGACACTGGTCAGCAGCACAGGAGCCCCCCAGGGCACAGTGCTGGCCCCTCTTCTCTTCACCCTGTACTCCTCTGACTTCCACTACAACTCAGAGCTGTGTCACATACAAAAGTATGCTGATGACACAGCCATAGTCGGATGCATCAGGGATGACAGAGAGGAGGAGGATGGACATCTGGTGGGGGACTTTGCCCTTTGGTGCCAGACAAACCACCTGGAGCTCAACACCTCTAAGACAAAGGAGCTGGTTATAGACTTTGGGAGGTCCAGACCAAAGCCGAGACCAGTCGTACTAGAGGGAACTGAGGTGGAGGCCGTGGACTCCTACAAGTACCTCGGGGTGTGGTTGGACAGCAAACTGGACTGGTCAAAACACACCAGCAACCTGTACGGGAAGGTACAGAGCAGGATGTACTTCCTCAGGAGACTGCGGTCCTTTAACATCTGCAGCAAACTGCTGTGTATGTTCTACCAGTCTGTGATAGCCAGTGTCCTCTTCTACACAGTGGTGTGCTGGGGAGGTAGCACATCCAACAAGGACACGTCCAGACTGGACAAACTGACCAGGCGGGCCGGCTCCGTGGTCGGCATGAAGCTGGACTCTCTGGTGACGGTGGCAGAGGCCAGGACACTGACCAAACTGATGGACATCATGGCCGACAGCAGCCACCCTCTGCACACCGTCATCAGCAGCCAGAGGAGCTGTTCAGGGACAGACTGCTGCTGCCCAAGTGCCGATAGACCAATAGACTTAAGAACTCTTTTGTCCCCCACGCCATCAGACTGTAAACGCCTCACTGGGGGCGAGGAGGTGAACCAGGACAGGGGGAAGAGATATCACATACACTGTACTTAATCTGTATTTTTTGTATTTTTATTTTTTTTTATTTTTTTTGCTTGATTTAATTCTAGAGTCTTCCCAAGGGATCAATAAAGTACTGTCTAAGTCTAAGTCTAAGTCTATAAACACACCATCCATTCATTCGTCATTGAATTAAATTGAACAATGTGCTCACAGGTTGTAGCATCAAATGGAAAGGCTTGTGTATTATTTGAATTCAGGGCAGTTTAACCCTTTAACATCTACACTTAGAAAAAAAGGACAGGAAAATATTTATTTAAATTTTTGTCATTTCAACAAAAATCTGTGTTTCTTTCACATGGAGATGGGCTGACACTTACTGTTAAAGGTGTGGATTTTTAGAAAAAGAAATGTCATATCATGTTCACTGTCATGTTCCAGTCAATCACATGCTCTGACAGAGCATACAACATAGAGTCTATGTTGTATGTATTTACTGACCATAGCAAATCACATAGCACATGTAAAGTTCATTTGGAGCACTCTGGTCCTCTCTGGTCCGCTGTCTGCAGGTTTTAGAGGTTTTCCTGTTTCAAAGCTCAACAATGTCCAGAGGACAGCCACACGCCTGATTCTGTGATCACAATCAGGTGTGCAGGAGCAGGCAAACGTCTAAAGCCTGCTGGACAGCAGAGCTCAATCAGGAGTTTACACCCCTGATTCAGAGGCAGTTTATGAAAGCTCCCTTCCTCTATACCAGGGGTGGGCAACTCCAGGGCCCCCTGCCTCTCACACCTGATCCAGATCTAACTGATCTCTTCTAGAGGGGCTTCAGCTCCAGATGGGACTGCTGATGTTGTGCTGATGGGAATCAGACACAGGGAAACCTCTAAAACCTGTAGGACTGAGGCCCAAAGAGGCCTGGAGTTGACCCCCCCCCCGCCCCCCCCCCCCCCCCGGGCTTGTAGGAGCAAGTTACGACTAAACAATGACTGAATAGAGTCAGAGCATCCTGCTGTACAGATGGTTGAGAAGTTAAAGGGTTAAAACATATATAAAAGGTCCCAGCTGCTGGGACAATGACTCCATCCATGTCTGCTTATTCAAACTCAATTCCAGCCCTGGAGAAGCAGATTTCTGGATAAAGAGTGATGGATTCTGGGTCCACATGCTCTGCTCCTGAGAGAGATGTTTCACACACAGCCCCTCCTCACAGGCCTACTGTTCCTCCGTCCACAAAATGGAGGGCAGCCGGGTTGTCGGCTGACCCGCTGGAGCGAACCGAAGCCATCCTGGTCCCGCCCTCGCTGTGCTGGGAGCTCTCCACGTACTGGTGCAGGGTGCTGTAGTAGTGGTCTTTGGTGCTGAACTGATACAGAGAGGAGATCTTCTCCCAGTCCTTGTTGGAGGGTGTGATGATGCATTCAGGAGGTGACTGGTTGAAAAAGCTTTTCAGGTTCCTCTCAGCAAGCTCCTTGGCGTGTTTGGTGGTGTATGAATCCATCAGGTCGCTCTCCTGCTGAGCATATGCCCTCCAGAACCTGAGCTGCAGGTAACTGATGGGGGATGTGCAGCGGGCCAGGCAGATGAGTGACAGGTTGGACAGCATGATGAAGGCAATGAGGAGCCAGCCCAGAATCTGCAGTCATCCCAAAGAAACAGGCGGGTTTGTCATCAAGAACATTTCAACGGCTTTGTTCCTAACTTGTTTAGGTAACATTAAAAGTGAAAAGAACAAACAGGTAAAGTACAGTTCTGAAATTGGTACAACTGACTATAAAGAATGGTGTGGATTTGGGTAATGCACAGATAACAGCCTGTGAACACAGAGCCTGCTGTGCAGCAAAGCCCAGGATCAGGATCAGGATCAGGATCAGGATCAGGATCAGGATCAGGGTCAGGGTCAGGATCAGGACACCCACTGCAGTCTGGCCACAAACCCCAAACCCCCCGCAGCCTCCCAGACAGTTCACAACACTCTCATCTTCCAGCTTTGGATTTAAGAAGTCATTCGCAGGCTCTGTGTTGAGTGTTGCTACTGCCCATACCCCTCACACCATCTGAATAATTGTGTTAAAACTAGTCGGGGTTGACAGAACTGAACAGAGCTTTATACATGAATCTTTGTTTTATTTGGATCAACACAATCAGCCGTTAATAAGACATGCGCAGTATGACCACGGATGAGCTGGCTGTTCTGAACTCTTCTGGTTGGCCTCCCCAGGGGGCGCCTCGGGGGCTGCTTACCTGAGAGTGGGCCCTCAGCGTGCGCAGAACCTCCTCCCTGCCTTTGCCCCCCCTCTCACAGGGGAACCTGAACAGCTCCCCCTCGCACTGCGCGCTGGGGAGCGCGTGTTCGCAGAGGTGGCGGCTGTACGCGCGCACGTTGGCCCCGCTCATGGCGCACTCGTAGTAGTTCCCGTTCAGCAGCGCCACGGCCACCCAGCTGCAGGGCGCCACCAGCGCAGCGCAGCTGATGTGGAGCAGGGCCCGGCCCATGGCCGCCAGGCCCCTCCAGCGCCCGCGCCGTGCACGCCGTGCGCGCCGCAGACACACGCCCGTCACCAGCTTCCACGTCCTCATGCTCAGGATGTACCCCAGCAGCAGCAGGGCCAGGGCCGGCACCAGCAGGAACACCAGGCCGTACAGGAAGTTGAGCTCACTGCAGGGGCACCTGAAGGCCACCGAGGAGAAGAGCTGCTCCCCCCCCCGCCGTCAGCAGCGCCACCAGCCCGAAGCCCAGGTTGGCCTGGTTGTTCACCACGTTCACAACCGTCTTAAACTTCTCCATGTCTGAGCTGCTGAGTGACAGACGGTTTCACTTCTGCCCACAGATCTGCTGCCGCCGCCTCTCACTTCCCCAAAGTAACTCCACCAGAACTGTCATGAGGCCCTGTGTGCACTATCAACAATAGTGAGTTTACACCTGATATTTAGGCGAGTTTAACCACCCGTCTCCAGCAGATGGATGGATGATGGTGGATGGGTTAACAGGTGATTTTTGGTTTCAGAATAGATCCTGAGTTGTGTAGCTTAAGTCTGCTGCTGTGCCGGTACTCTGTCTCCTCCTAAAGCGTGGGACGGGGAAGGCGCTCCTGTCAGAGACGGCTCTGGTGTGCTGCTGGTCACTCAGGTCCAGACCCGGAGGCTGCTGAGGGGAAATCCTTTTTATCCAGTAACAGACGGAACCGTTTGGGTGTTTTAGGGAGCGTTGCCACACACAGGAACGTCCCAGCCCTGAGGGACCGGAGCACATACATTCAGTTTCAAGGTTAAAACACAGTTTAGTTAATTAGGTCATTTTTAGCGGAGGTTGGTTTTATTATTAGCAGTAAAAACCATACCCACTCTGCATCTGTGTCTGATGGTCATTACTGCTTAAGCAGTCACATTCCAAATCAGGGAGCAGCTGCTCACCATTCTCCCCAAACCTGACATGTCCTTATTAGAAAGGCTATAATTTGATAACTACACTGTCATAAGTGGAGCTACACCAGAGTAAAGTTCAATCAAACCGATTCAAATTAGTTAAATGTAATTATACTCTATTTACCTTCTAAGAAAAGAAAATGACTTCAGTAGTCATTATCAAAAAAGATATGATACTGGTACAGATTAAAAACAAAACATAAATTAGCTAACAAATAATAAATCAGAAAAGACTCTGTGGCTCCACGAACTCCATCAGCTCATGCCAGAAGAATAGTTTCCATGTGAATACACAAGTCCTTTAGAGTTCAACATTCCTTTACAAGCAGAATATTCATTGATTAAATTAATCGTTTAATTTATTAAATAGTCAACCTGTTAACATTATTAATGAATTCATTATACATATAAAACCTAAGTCCCTTATATCTTCCGTAACAAAGTTTTAGGAGGTGTAAAGTTTTCTGTGGGACCAGAACGACAAACTGATCTAGTCGACGGTACGTTTGCGCATGCGCGCCAGTGGCGCCTCCCTCCGCTCTGACAGGTGGCGCTGTGGGGGAGCTGTCCCTCTGAGTCACGGAGTCTACAAGAAGCAAACAAGAGTGTTGAAGCGGAACGCATAAACCAACAGTCCATTTTGTGGGGAATACATGATATGAAGTGTTTTCTAATACTTTAAAAGCCTCCTTCAACAGCCGGAACGGTTCAATCTTCTTATTCTAACAGCCATCGTAAAGAAGTGAACTGTCCTTCAGAATCTCCGAAATGGCAGAAAATCCCGGTGAGTTTGTCAGTTAGTGCTAGCTGATTAGCTAGCTGCACATTGACTTACACACACATAAACATATGTGTATGTGTGTGTACAGAAAGAGAAAGGTGGATGGATAAATAGATACTTAATTCATCCCGAAGGATATTGTGGTGTTCATAGGAATGAGCCCCAGCAGATGGACTCTGCTGGGTGCATGTTGATGTGTCAGCTTTTTGGAGCTGCAGGTTAGCTAACAGCTCTTGAGTCCGCAGTCCTCTGAGCTGTGTGGAGCAAGGCTACAGCGCAGGGGAAGCCCTGACCGACTGACCGCCTGACTGACCGCCTGCATGCTGCTGCTGCCCTTAGGCTGCGGCTGGTGGAGCCAGCTGGTCACGCCTGGCCTCAGCATCCTAGTGCAGTCAGCCTCCATCCATCCATCCATCATCCATCTGTCGCTGACCCTTGTTACCATCTTTTGAAAACAACATGGATCGCTTAAAGTGACCATCTTTCTCTTAGCTTAACTTCATGGCAGTGAAGTTCAGAGTTATCAGCATTCAGTCAGACTTCAGGTGGTGTACTTAAGCTTTAGTTTGAAAACAGTACCCTGTACTATGACTTTCCCACTGTGTTTCATCCTGTTTAGAACCAAATGAGACCAAGTTGGACAGTTCAGCCTCCACTGGGATGACGGACCAAGAGAGGGAACTAGCAGCCAGCGCATATGAAGCTTTTTCTGTAAATATTCTGTTCATCTTTACATATCTTGGTATCTCAACTTAACTTTTGGTATTTGTCTAAAGGTCAGAACCAAGTAAAGTGATTTTGTGATCTCATTAGCAAGCACACACACACACTAATCAGAGTACACAGCAAAGTCTCTATGGCGCTGCTTCTTCTTTGACTGGTGCAGAGCATGTCAGCTCTGGAAGGACCAGCTCGAGGGGACATTTCTGACTCATAAACTTTCTGCTTTTTTCTCCCCTCTAGTCATACAATTCGGTCCCCAGCAATATGGTAGTTTTGACGCAGTTGGAATGAAACCGGCTGATGGCATAGGATAGATTGTTGTTTGAATTAAACGACCGACCTGTTCAATTGACCTGTGTTCCTACAGGCTGGGAAGTATGACGAGTCTCTCAAACATCTTGACGTGCTGCATGAGCTCCACAAAGAGGACTACAAGGTCGCCATGAACAAAGCTGTTATTGACTTTTACAAAAGTGGTCAGAGCACCACAGGGACGCTGAAGCAGACACTAATGGCAGTGAAGAACCAGGTAACCGCCAAAAGGTTGTCTCCAGGGGCTCCGTGCACAGGGGCTCCGTGCACAGGGGCTCCGTGCACAGGGCTGTCTTCCTGATGTCCTCTGTGTGTTTCAGCTTCACGCGTCAGAGGACGCTGATGGTTTGGATGATGTGGAGAACAGTCTGCTCTACTACAATCAGGCCATCATTCACTATCACTTGCGACAGTACTCTGAGGCCATCTCCATAGGAGAGAAGCTCTACCAGTTTCTGGAACCGTTTGGTATGTTAAAGTGCTCTGTTTGCTTAGTAGTTTATGTAGTAAAGATATGAGTAGAGAACAGTCTTTTCAGCTCACACATCAGCAGCACCACTTCTCCATTTGGACTGTTTGTGTTATTTCATCTGTCACATCAAAAGTGCTTGGCATGGAATCATTTGGTTGTTTGCCCTAGAAGAGAAGTTTGCTCAGGCTGTGTGCTTCCTGTTGGTGGATCTCTACCTGCTCACCTTCCAGCCGGAGAAGGCCCTCCATCTGCTGGCAGTGCTTGACAAACTCTCCGTGCAGGGAAGCAACAAGAACGGGAAAGGAGAGGTAGCCTCCCACACTATGATGTCAGGGAGAGAAACACTGGTCTTTGAAAAAAAAATCAAGGTGTGCTCTAAAACTCAGCTGGAAGGGTGCCTTTCTTATAGAATGGTACCTTTTTTAAACGCCTATGCAGTGGTTTGAGTGTGAACCCATTCAGATTCAATAGCCTGTAGTTAACTGTTGATGCTGCCTTTGGTTCCAGAGCAATCCCTCAAACAAAGATGGAGTGAATCAGAGGGCAGAGTTTGCAGCCATGATAGAAGCAGCCAAATCCAAAATGCACCAGGTCAGAGGTCATGACTGTTCACATCTGAGGCCGACTCGGCCAGCACTCGTCCTAACTGCCTGTTTCTATTTCAGTACAAGGTGAGAGCCTACATTCAGATGAAGTCCTCCAAGGCCTGCAAGAGAGAGATCAAGTCAGTGATGAACACCGCCGGCAATGTGAGTGACCCAGTGGCCTCAGGTGCTTTAGCCTCCCACAAACTCTGCTCAGGTGATGCAGGTTGCTATGGTGACATTAGCCTGAGCTTTTCTGTGGTCACACGTTCTCTCCTGGTCCTTCTCAGGTCAAACCTATGTCCTGTCATGTGTTTGTTATCTGTGCACTCCTGACCGCTCTGTCCTGTCCCCTCTCCAGTCTGCACCCTCACTCTTCCTCAAGAGTAACTTTGAGTACCTGAGAGGAAACTACCGGAAAGCAGTGAAGCTACTGAACAGCTCCAACATTGCAGAACATCCCGGGCCCATCAAAACCGGTTGGTTTGTCACCCCTGAGACTGTGGCAGCTGTGGCAGTCATTGTTGTGTTTGCTGCAGGATGAATTCTTGACCAAGTCCTCTCCTTTCTTTCAGGTGAATGTGCCAGATGTATGTTCTGGAACAATCTGGGCTGCATTCACTTTGCAATGGGGAAACATAACCTCGGCATTTTCTACTTCAAGAAGGCGCTACAGGAGAATGACCACACATGTGCACAACTAGGAGATGGCAGCAATGGCCAGTGTAGGTCACAGCAAGCTCTGCTGCCAGTCTGATTCCAAAATAAATGTTCCAACATTTTGAATGTTCCCTGAGTGCCACAGTGTCCCCTCTACTGGGTCAGTAACACCTTCTCCTGCAATAAGTCCATCTCTTCTGTTGGTTTTGTCCAGCTAAGAAATTCACAGGTATCCCCATGTGTGCGTTGCTGGCCAACAAGCGCTACGAGCTGCTGTATAACTGTGGTATTCAGCTGCTGCACATCGGCCGGCCGCTGGCAGCGTTTGAGTGTCTGATGGAGGCGGTGCAGGTCTACCACTCCAACCCGCGGCTGTGGCTGCGGCTGGCTGAGTGCTGCATCTCTGCCAACAAAGGGGTAGGTGTTTCCGTAGCTCCTATAAAGAATCCTCATTCTCATATCCTATCAAGAGAGATTCCGATCTGATAAGTTTTTATGTAGTGATTCAAAGGTGATGTCATTTCTGAGGCTAGAATTTGTTTCCAGGGCTCAGAACAGGAGAGCAAAGGTTTACCCTGTAAGAAAGGCATAGTTCAGTCCGTCATCGGGCAGGGCTACCATCGGAAGATCGTCCTTGCATCGCAGTCTGCACAGAACACCGTGTACAGGTCAGTCAGAGCCCTCAGGCTGTCCAGCAGCCGCCTGTCACCGTGGCTGTGCTGCTGCTTTCCTTCTGTGAGCACGCATCCTCGGGGGGTCTCATGTTGGAGGCAGCATGGCTTCTCACCCACCTTGTTCCATACGGTGCCACCCATGTTACTTTTCAGCCCATTTGAATTTGCTATTGGCTGATGCCCTTCCTGATTGGCTATATTTTCCACTTAATGGCCACTGATTGGTTCCTTGTTGGCTCTAGCAGCGTGCGCCGCATTCACAGCCAATACAGTAAAAACGAGGTCTGCACTATGCTGAACCCCTTGTTCCCCTGACTGACCTGACCTTGTTCCCTTTTTCTTAAAACCATCTTTGTTGTTGAGACTTAAATTGACCATCTGCAATGCGTGCATATAACTAAGAAGCTTTAGCCCGTTAACCAGCCCATGTCCACATGATGCATTACGTGTCAAGTGAAGGTCTGTCTGTGTCCTTCCACTGTTGTAACCCATGTGGACATTATGGGATGGAGCTCATTCTGGCCTCGTGCTCTGTGTGTTTGTGCAGTGAGGGTCAGTCAGCAGCCATCCCAGTTGCCAGTATGGAGTTTGCAGCCATCTGCCTGAGGAATGCTCTACTACTGCTGCCTGAACACCAGCAGCAGGAAACCAAGGCGGAGAACGGATCCAAGAGCTCCAGCCAGTCAGGAAGCACGGAGAGCGGCAGCGAGAACAGTGACACCTGCAGGTCAGACCGCATCTGTTAGTGTTTGCTGTTAGTCTCTATTCATTCTGCGCACGCTCACTGAATGAGCCTCCTGGCAGTTAAGTAAAGAACACATTGGTCTTGAGAAGAGTAGCACTCATCTGTGGGTGGTGAATTTGACAGATAGCAGGGCGCCCTGTAATCTGTTTACAGCAGGAGTGGTTTAACAGCTACACATTCACATTCCCACAAATAAAGAGCCCCACACCTGATGAGAGATGTCAGACATTAGGAGTGTAGGCACCAGTGGTAGGTCCATGCGGTCATATCTCAGGACGGCGTTCGTCATTGGATGATGTGCTAAGAATATGCAGTGAACATGAGCAGAGCAGGACATGAGGTGTTCTGGGTAATGATGTGCTCCCGCATCACACCAGCTGGCCATCACAGGTGTCCGGTTGGGTTTCAGGGTCCTGCCTCCACTCGTCTTGAGTTGAATGTTTGTGCTTGCAGTCCTATTGAAGAGGATTGTTTGTGCCATAAATGCTGTTGGTGTATTTTCCAGTGGGAAAGGTCAGGAAACGGATAAGTTTCTGTCTGCGGCTCCATCGTCTCCTCTCAGGAAGCAGGAGGTGGAAAACCTCAGGTAATCTTCTCTCAGTTTCCCTGCTCCCGTGTCTGTTGAAGGAGGCAGAGTGCTTACTAACTGACCGACCTGCAGGTGCTCCATCCTGGCCTGCAGCTCGTATGTGGCCTTAGCGTTGGGAGACAATCTGATGGCTCTGAACCATGCTGAGAAACTGCTTCATCAGACCAAGGTGTCTGGATCCCTCAAGTAAGTTTGCCCACTGGGCAGAGCTGGGAGGGGCCTGTTGGGAAAGCCAATTGGATCAGGAGACGCTCGTCACATGACGCTGGATGGGATGTGTTCTTCCTCCTGTGTGTATTCAGGTTTCTGGGCCATCTCTATGCTGCTGAAGCCCTCATCTCACTGGACAGGATCTCCGATGCCATCACTCACCTAAACCCAGAGAACGTCAGCGACGTGTCATTGGGAGTTCTGACCAGTGAACAAGACCAGGGTCAGTGGCTCCCTTCCTCAATGCGCCCACATAAGCTTCCCTGGAGTGTCTTTGAAGCTTGCTTTGTTAATCTTTCCAGGACCTGACAAAGGAGACGAGCCCGCTGAACCCTGTGAGTCTTTCTGCATCACAAAGCCCTGACGCAGCTGAAGGGAGAGGTGTTTGCTGTAGGAGCTCAGAGGCATCAGTGAATGTGGAAACGTTTGTGTGTGCAGCAGGGAAGAAGACCCCCTTGTGCTATCCCAGCAGTGTGACGTCAGCCCGGGCCATGATGCTCTTCAACCTGGGCAGCGCCTACTGCTTAAGGAGCGAGTATGACAAGGCCCGCAAGTGTCTGCATCAGGTACCCACCATGGAGGGAGAGCGGGCTGGAGGCTCGAGCTGTGGTAGGAGGGACTGAGTGACCAGCAGCAGCTCTAGAATCCAACAGGCTGACTGGCACTCAGGTTTTTGGTAGTTGTAATGGAGTCCCTTGGATTCTTGGATTTGTCTGAGGTGCTCTTTGGATGGGACAGGTGTCAACCTGGATGTGAGAAGCCTCTTTTGCTTCTATTGTCACAGTTTGAACTGCCTGCGTATTCCCATCAGTCCTGCTGACTGTAAAACACTCAACTGGCCTTTCAGATTTGGGAGGGCACCTGATAGACCTCAGGCTTCCCGTGCTAACATGCTGTGGTTTGTCTGCATCAGGCTGCATCTATGGTGAACACCAAGGAGATTCCACCTGAGGCCATCCTGCTGGGAGTGTACCTGGAGCTGCAAAACGGTGCGTTGCTTACGTGTGTGTGTTCAGAGGCAGTCACTGGTGCTCTGAGTAGTGAGCCAGGTCTCTCACAGACAAACTTTCACTAACACTAAAGACCAAGCTTTGCTGCATGTTCCCGGCATAAGACTCAGTGTCAGGAGCATGTTGGATCAGGACCAGAGTCTGTGAGACTTCTGGACTGTTTATGTTGACTCTATCTAGGATTTAGAGGTACTGGCCCCGCCCACAGACGGTGTGAGCTCAGCTCCCTGTGTTGTGTGGAGCCCTTCAGCTGAATGAACATGTTGTCTCCTCAGGAAACACGCAGCTGGCTCTGCAGATCATCAAACGGAACCAGCTGCTGCCCACATCGCTCCACAGGGTCTCCCCGGACTCCCGCAAGAAACCCCCTCAGTCCTTCCAGTCTGTCCAGCCCATCCAGCTGCCCCCGCCCTTCACACAGGTTCAGCGTAAATGAACCGCTGTCTGAGAGCAGCCGGCCTTTTGTCTTTCATCAATGTGTGTTTTCTGAACAATGAAAATAAATGTGCTGTCTGAATCCTGGGCTGTTGACTGGCTGTAGTGGGAGGCTGCAGAGAGCCTGCACAGACTCCTCCCAGAGGAAACACGCCCCCTCCGCTCCCTACACTAAAGTCTTCTGTTTACAGCTGCTTCCTGGTTTCTCTGCTCTCCCTGCTTGTTTCAGACCGTCACCCCTTTCTGACTGGGAGGCTGTTGGGGCCAGCTTCACCCACAACAGGCCCCACATTATGAGCCAGAGGAATGCGGCCTGCTCTGCTCCTCTGGACAGGCCCTAGTTCTGTCACCTTCCCTTTGGTTCACTGTGCTGGAGCTCAGAAGTGCTGCCCTGTTTATAGAACCGTTTGGTTGTATCATGGTTACCATGGTGGTCTCTTTGGAGTGGTATTTTGTAGAACCTCTCCTAACTGCTTCAGCTCCTATGAGCTGCACTGACTCCTGTATGATGTGTTCATGGGCAAAGGGCCTGCGTGGGACAGCATCAGCCTTTGGAAGGTAACAGTGAAAGAGCAGCTCAGCTCTCATCCTACAGCAGGATCGGCCTTCAGATGGGCTGGAGAGACATCCACATTAAACTGGCCGCTGTCAGGGCGCCCCCTCAAACACAGGAAGCTTATTCTTCAGTGCACCTCTGCAAAACTGACATTTCCTAAGCAGGCACAGCTGGCCTGGGGTCAGACTACGATGTGATGCTTAACATGTGAACAGGACTGAATGTGAAAGAGCCACAGTCAGAATAATCAGGCGGAGGCTGAACAGGACTAAACTGCTTTTATTTCACTTCTTTTGTGCTGTTATCAAGAGTCAGGGGGCACAGGTATTCCTCCCAGCCATGTCCCAACTCTCACATCCACTGGCTGAGGCCAGTTCAAGTCAAGATGGGAATTTCCACGAGTGGGTTACGGATGCTCTTGGATCCACAGACTGAGGAAGGTCTGTCTAAACAGCGGTTTCTCTGGAGCTCAGAGCAGCTCCAGGACCAGTGAGGGATCTGCTCTGAACCAGTCAGGTACCCACACTTTCTACATTTCAGTTCCAAAACTCATCTCAAACATCACAGAACACAAACATCCCCACGGCAAACTAGACGGGGCAGGCTGCCTTTATCAGGCCCGCTCCAGTTAAAAAAAACAAACTATGTACTAGAAACAAGGAGGTGGTTTGGGGGGAGCTGTCCTGAGGTCTTGTCCCACTGGGGTCCCACTGGGGTCCCACCGGGGCACTGCAGTGGGCTGCTGGACGGGCCCCTCACAGGAAGTCTCCACACACCCCTCCAGCCCACATCAGACTGACTGTGTCCACCCCAGCAAAGCTGACCTGATCTGTCCGGTCAAAAACAAAGATCCAGCTGCACTGAGGGGGCTGGACATGGCTTTGGGGGAGAGGTCAGTCCTTCACTGCCCAGCAGCTTCCACCAACGCTGAAACAGGTCCTTCTGCTGCCCTGTAACAAGTCCAGCACATCAGCCCTTCCAGTCCCAGGGAACACACAGGTCCCCGTCTTGCATAACTGAGTAAAAGTGGGACACGCAGATGTGCAGGCCCTGCAGGAGGGGGGGGGCGCTGCTCCAGCAGCCGCTGGCAGCACTGGATCATCTGACCGGAGCTGACGCTGGGCTCCCTGCTCAGGCTGCTCAGAGACAGAGTCTGCACGCAGGCCCTGACCACCGCCTCCTCCTCAGCCTGCAGCCTGCACACACACACAGAAACACACACACACACGCACGCACACACACACACACAGGAAGAGAAGAAGGAGCGGTTGAACCTCAGCAGACTGCAGTCCAGCGCCCTCATGTGTGGCACTCGGACACCACCGGCCTAACTGGTCTGACCGGTCCCTGCTGTGAGTCTCAGAGTGTGGGGGGCCAGCTGAGCGGGTCATCTGGACATGGGAGGCCTGTCGGTGTGGGGCACAGCGGAACCTGCCGTGTTGTTAGTGGGACTAAACAGCGGTGTGGGACTGAGCTCCTCTCATTTGATTGGTGCTCCTGCTGGTGAGGCCAGGTGACACCACTGGCCTCTAATGAGCCTGACTCTGCTACACGTTTCCTGTTCCACTCACTGCTTCCTGCGCAGGGTTCGCCGTCTGGCCTCAGGGGCGTGGCTCTGGAGGAACACCTGCAGCTTGGGGGGGTCACAGTTAGTGGGGATGAGGAAGTGTCCCATCTCATGAAGCCTGGGGGTGGAGCGGTCACTGCAGAAACACAAACAGCTTTGGTTTTCATCTGTCAGCCCCCACCCCTTTGGATCTCATCAGCAAGCCTTCTCCCGCCCGCCTGGTCCCAGCAGGAGGGGCTGCGTACTTCTCCAGCATCATGGTGAGGCCGTGCAGGCTGCGCGGGTGCAGGTGCAGCCGTCTGGACATCAGGCTCTTGTGGAAGCTGCTCAGCGTGCCGTAGTGCTCGGCGATGGGCTGGACCGGCCCCAGCCGCTCCGTGTGCACCACCTGGACTCCACCCAGCAGGAGGCTGATCCTCTCCTGCAGCCACTCGGCCTGCTGCTGGACGCTGCGGTAGCTGGCCAGCTGCTGGAACAGCTGGGGACGCGCACGGAGGTCACACACAGAGACACGCAACCAGACAGCAGCAGCCCCACAGCACCTTACTTTGGTCCACTGATGGTGGACATCCATGGTCCCCAGCATCACGTGTCCAGAGGCGTTCATAGCCGACTGGTCAGCAAACACCAGGGTGTGTCCTGGTGGGAGAGCGGGTCAGCACCTGAGCGCGGGCCGTGTCCCTGGGGGGGGGGGGGGGGGGGAAACTGCTCACCTTGCAGGGGGGCCAGGGCCTCAGGGCTCTGCTGGGACAGCCGGCTCAGACTCTGCAGCTGGCAGCACCTGTGGGACACCCCCCAGCCACGCTGCCACCTGCACACACACACACACGCACACGCACACGCACACACACACAC